GAGTGAGAGAGTGAGTGAGAGTGAGTGAGAGAGTGAGAGAGTGAGTGAGTGAGTGAGTGAGAGAGTGAGAGAGTGAGAGAGTGAGTGAGTGAGAGAGTGAGAGAGTGTGTGAGTGAGTGAGTGAGTGAGTGAGTGAGTGAGTGTGTGTGTGGGGGTGGGTGAGTGAGTGAGTGAGTGAGTGAGTGAGTGAGTGAGTGAGAGAGTGAGTGAGTGAGTGAGTGAGTGAGTGAGTGAGTGAGTGAGAGAGTGTGTGAGTGAGTGAGTGAGTGAGTGAGTGAGTGAGTGAGTGTGTGTGTGGGTGGGTGGGTGAGTGAGTGAGTGAGTGAGAGAGTGAGTGAGTGAGTGAGTGAGTGAGTGAGTGAGTGAGTGAGTGAGTGAGTGAGTGAGTGAGTGAGAGAGTGAGTGAGTGAGAGAGTGAGAGAGTGAGTGAGTGAGTGAGTGTGTGAGTGAGTGAGTGAGAGAGTGAGAGAGTGAGTGAGTGAGTGAGTGAGTGAGTGAGTGAGTGAGTGAGTGAACATGTATAACTTGAAGGATGCATTCCATAGGACAAATGAAACAGCTGGTTCTTAGCCAGAGTGAGTGGGGTCTGCAGCGATAATGACCCGGGGCCGCTAGGCCACCCTTTAGGGTATACACTACAAGTACCATGTGATCTTTGTGTTTGATCAAGTGTCTCTTTATGGCTGAAATAATGCTGATACGATGTTAATTTTTACTCACTCACTCACTTTAATCAAGTACACAAACTTTGTAGAAAAAGTCACATTGACACTACAAAAACAGGCAACTGACCCCTTTCAAAAACTGTTAGACAACCCCAATTAGACAGGGACATTTATTAAAAACGTTTGTTGATGTTATAAGAAAGATTATGGAAAGAAAGCTGTGCCTGAATGGAAATTGGATCCAAATGTAACCTTACTGTCGCATGAACTCCGGCACTCCTGACATTAAGAAGCCATAAATCTGTTATCCAACTGTTCACATAACATCAACAAGACCAATGTACAATCAAGCAGCATTCCTGACTCACTGCCGGCCCATTATGACTTTAGCAGCTTCCCTTGAGCGCCAGTCCCTGACCTTGGACTGTGCTGCATTTTACACATCGATACATGATACATGATACATGATACATGATGCGGTGTAGCTAATGCTCCTTATTCCATGACGATATGAGTCTTAAAATCCTGAAAGATTATCTGAACAGTTTGGGTGTTTTCTTGACTAAACATGAAGACTGTGTGTGTCATGTCTTTACAAGCTGGCCTCAAGTATCAGCACTTGGGGTCACAAAAGCAACCAGTCACTTTAACAAAAACTGTTTGCCTTACAGCTGATGCTAACATTACATGTGAACCCTCAAGTTCCAACTGAAAGGGTCTGCCTCAAGTTCTGCTGTGCACATGTGTGTGGATCACAACATATGTCTTGTTTTCTCTCACCTTGTCTGACAGTAAGATAGAGGTGAACTTTCAGTCACGGAACTCTCTATACATACACATGAACGCAGTCTACCTACACCCACCTCCTACCTCATGCCTCCTATATCCACACTCCACCTATATCCACACTTAACCAATATCTACACGCCACCTATATCCACACGCCACCTATATCCACACGCCACCTATATCCACACGCCACCTATATCCACACTTAACCAATATCTACACGCCACCTATATCCACACGCCTCCTATATCTACACGCCACCTATATCTACACGCTTCCTATAGCCACACGCCACATATATCTACACGCCTCCTATAGCCACACGCCACATATAGCCACACGCCTCCTATATCCACACGCCACCTATATCCACACGTCACCTTTATCTACATGTCACCTATATCCGCATGCTCGTTACAAAACCATGACTAACGGGATGAGGTGGTCAGGCTCGCTGAATGGTTGGAGCATGTCATCGTATCCCAATTGGGTAGATTGATGCTCATGATGTCAATCACTGGATTGTTTCGATTATTTACAGACCGCCATCATATAGCTGGAATATTGCTGAGGGTGCTGAGTATGGCAGTAAACAACAAACAAACATCTAGCCACACCCTTTACACCCCTTACACCAATACAACACCTACAGTTGCACACGCCCGCGAGATCTGCACACACCTCACACCCACACTTCCCCTTCAGACTTGCAGGAGATAGGGCCTCGGAAAAAAAAAATATTAATGAATCTAGGGCCAACTTTGCTGATATCAAATTCAGTAATGACATTTATTCAACATTATCAGTTTGATCCAATCTTTTCTTAATTGCAGTTTTGATACCATTACCCTCACAACTAATAACATCTTGGAGCCTCCCACAAAAGTTTACATGAGCATATTCTGAAGTGACATGAACGTAAATGTTTAATGCGGAAAGTGTCAGTGTATCCACACAACAAATTACATGGCCCTGAACCTCTACTGTACAGTGAAGCTAATTATGCAGATTCATTTCAGGTCCAAGTGTAACATGAGATGTAGTTATCAGGAAGATCTGATATAACGGCCATATTATCTTTGGAGGAGAAAATATACACAGCTCCTGGTATGTCCTTATCTGCCTGGCCTCTACTGCTGCCTTCATAACAAACAAACTATTTTCCTGCAACTAATTGCAGCTGCAAGTGCTGACCAGAGCAAACAAAACAAATATCATACTTGGGCCACGACTCATTTATATGCTGTAATCAACATGATTTGATCTCATGACCGTACCGTTACCATGGTGATTAATAATATGTATATTCAACTGTAGAACAAAATACATTAGAGACATTTACATCTATAGAGTGTTTGAGACAAAAACTGATACCAGGGATATGAATTATTAACAAGTTCATTCAATTTCAAGTACTCCTTCAGGTCTGACATATTAATATCATAAAGGCAGTAGTCTGATTGGTTAATCCCCAAGGCAAACAATCCTGATTGGTAGGTCACCTGTAACACAGCATTGTGATTGGTTAATCCCATGACAGTATACTGGAAAGCTACATCTGATGGTATTACAATGATAAATGTAACTGCACTTTGTAAGCTTTGACTTTTATACCCACATGATGGTGGCTTTGGCTATCTTCAACTTTGAATGTCAGAAGGTTGCTCAATATCCATAACAACACAGATTATGTTTTAGAAAAAAATTCTCATACAAATTTCACTTGTCAGTCGGGACATAAGTATTCAAATTATTGATGATTATGGGGTTGAGTTGCTCTACTACTCCCTGTGGTGTAGCCTTAGTGCTCTCTCTATATATTATATATATGCAAAGAGTTAGGCAAGTAAGGGAAGTCCTTTATGTGAAAAGGACATCTGAAAATTTATACAAGAGTCATAAGTAGATGACATATACTTCCCACATCAACATGGAATAAGACATTTTTAGGACAACATGAAACACTGTGAGTAATACAGAAGTGTCCCAATAAGATCATCCCGAAAGTGAGTGAGTGAGTGAGTGAGTTTAAACAGTTGGTCCTACATAGATAAGGTAGGTAGTTGCTATATTTGCTAATATATTGCCAAATGAACAATCCCAATTAGCATCCCTTCCGATTGATCAATGTACAAGAGACATATTTATTCGTGTATAATACGCACTCGTGTGTTATATGCACCCTTAATTATGGGCAATTAAATTCTGGAAAAATATATCTGTCGTATATAAACAGTTCAGACCGTCAGCATAAACCACGAAATTTATCTTTTTCAATTCTGTTTTTTTCCACCAAAATAATATTCTAATAAGAGCCCCCTATTTCTAATTTTGAGAGCGCCCTGGGCGCTTATAACGTCGAATACAGTATGTCTTTTAATTCCTTTATCAACCCTCACCCTGAACCTATCCATTGCTGGGCATTCTCCAGAGACAGTTACTCATGCTATCAACCATCGGTTCATATGGCTGATTAGTTTCAGGATGCTGAGATGTAGACGTAATATTACAGTCAAACAGTACTGAATCACTCCCAATTCTCTACTACTCTCTCATCAATCATTATTATCCCTTATCTGCCTAATCTTGGAGCAGGAAAATAAAATCATTACGCCTCTTCTCCTTCACCTCATCCATGCTATAACCTAATCAGGTTTTATTTTGATACTGGCTTTATGAGGACCATTATTTCATGTACCAGTCTCCTACAACAGTTCCCTCCAATTACTGCCCCTGTGCCCAATCAGTGAAATCAATAAGGGATAACATGCCCAGCCCTATGATAACAACTCATATGCTACATATGTAGCGATTGTATGGCAAAATGCATATACAACATAAGTAGGCATTGTATGGGATAATGCACATACTACATACTCAGGCCTTGTATGGAATAATGATTGTTTGTTTGTTTGTTGTTTAACGCCGCATTCAGCAATATTCCAGCTATATGACAGCAGTCTGTAAATAATTGAGTCTGGACCAGACAATCCAGTGATTGACATCATGAGCATCGATCCGTGCAATTGGGATAGATGACATGTATCAACCAAGTCAGCGAGCCTGACCACCCGATCCCATTAGTCGCCTTTTACGACAAGCATAATTGCCTTTTACGGCAAGCATGGGTTGCTGAAGACTATTCTACGTCCGATCTTCACGGGTCCATGGAATAATGCATATACTACTTACTCAGGCCTTGTATGGGATAATGCATATACTACATACTCAGGCCTTTTTTGGGATAATACAAGTATATGATTAGGCCAAAATAGTGGACAATGCATGTACTACAAACTTATTATACACTGGCTTACCTATGAGATACAGCATGTGTATATTGGCCTATGCATGGGACAATGTCAACACATACCTAGCTCTATGTATGGGATAAAGTGTATACTACACACTGAGACCTACGTATGGGACAGCATCTTAACACATAGTCAGACCTACATATGGGATAACTTGAACACAGTCTAAGGCCTACACAGGATAACACAAATACAACATACATAAGGGAACGGTACCTCAAGGATAACTCACCTCCATGACGTTCATGATGACATCCCGTCCAATCGCAAGTCCCTGCACAAATGTTCGAGCTGCGATGAATGCTCTCCTTACTTGAATGGACAACTTCGCAGGTACATCCCCGAATGGTTTTAATTCATCCATGCGATCTGTGACACACGCCATATATTCTTCGTCAAAGGCGTATTGAGTATTTATAAGTTCAAACATTTTCTGTAAAAGTCTGCTGAAAAAGTTATCCATAACGTCCTTTAAGTTTTTGTCCTTGCCCTTGTAGTATCCCCTCAGATCATCAAACAGATCTGTGAATATGTGTGCATTTTGTTGGTATAGCAGTCCGTATGTTTTAACAAACATTTCGTGTAGATCTCTTCTGGCATTATCCAACAATTCCGTGAAAAATTCTGAAATGATAAAGAAGAAAAATACTGTTAGGAATGATGACTTCGAGACAAGTGACATTTAACGGAAACATTCGTGAGAGAAAATTCAAATAATCTATGCATATAATAATCAAAAGAAAATAGCTGACATTAAATTATTAACCACATGTTAAATGGCGAAATGCCATTCTCACATCAGATTCGGAAGGTGGAATCAATTTGTGATAGCATCATAATAAAAAATAGTATGTCTGAGGCATAGTGCCAACATGTGTATTATTGCATTCATAAATCATCAGCCAATTTGTATATAATACCATCCCTCTGATCCTGACCTAACATCAACCGTGTTCAGCACAATAAACTGCACGTAATGAGAAGAAAATCCCTTGAATTACCAGATCATGGCGTAAAAGTAGAGTAAATATATATATTTATGCCTTATGCTATAATCCATATAGGACCTTTTTGCACGTTTAGCACAGTTTTAAGTCAGATGGTTAATAGAAGAGGCTGCAAAGCATCTCTGCAGAACTTTTTACAACACTTGATCAAACTCTCCACCCCATTGCGGGAAGGTTTCGAGGCATTTTATTGTTGTCAATAAATCTCAGAGCACAGGATGCCCACTAAACCAGCTCCCTTATCTGGTGTAGAGTCGTAAAAGATAACACTACCTTCTTAATTCAACAAATATGTACAAGTTCAGCCGACAGAGTTGTCAATAAAACTTGTTCAAATCCAGCACATGGACAAACAGAATTTCTCTTCATTTTATACCTCTGCCATATTGTAGACCTGTAATTAACTTTATTGTAGACTAAGCCTCGGATCTATTTGCCGTATTTAACATCGGACCATCTCCTCATGGGATATTTTATCGAAGCTGCACAGAATTTCTTTGTTTGTTTCACACCTACCGTATTCGACGTAAAAAGCGCCCGGGCGCTCTCAAAATTAGAAATAGGGTGCTCTTATTAGAATATTATTTTGGTGAAAGAAAAACAGAGTTGAAAGATAAATTAAGTGGTTTATGCTGACAGCCTGAAATGTTTATGTACGGCAGATATATTTTTCTAGAATTAATTGCCCATAATTAAGGATGCATATAACACACGAGTGTGTATTGCATGCGAATGAATAAGTCTTGTGAACATTGATCAAGCGGGAGGGGTCCTATTAGCAAATATATCCGTGGGCGCTTATTACGTCGAATACAGTATTTAAAATCCTACCAATGAGTGAGGGACTGAGTTGAGGTTTAGAGCCGTATCCCGTTCATGAACACCACAAATTGGCTTCATACATTGTACCAATGTTGGGAATTGAACCTCGGTCTTTGGCGTGACAAGAAAACTTGTTAGCCACCCAGCCACCCAACCACCCCAATGCTACCAGAGAGTGAGTGAGTGAGTGATTATTGCCTAATGCTGCACCAGTAATCCTCAGCTATTCCCACATCTTAATGAGCTTGCTACATCGTTATGAGCTATATTCTACGGAAAGTGTGTGATTGAGTATGGTTTTATGCAGCTTTTAGCAATATTCCAGCAATATCACGGTGGGGGACACCACAAATGGGCTTCACACATTGTACTTGTAGCCATGTCGGGAATCGAACCCGGGTCTTCGGCGTTAAAGAGCGAACGCTTTAACCACTAGGCTACCCAAATGCCCCTTGTACTGAAAGTAGGCCCATATGAAAAAACAAACACATTGCATATTAGGGTGTTTGTTAAAATATTAATTTGAAAAGCACTTTGGGGGAAAACAACAATTACACATCAACAAACATAATTTGAGTTTATGGTTCATCATTTGCAATTGAACTGTTTTGTTTTAGCAATTATTTCAATTTTTTCAGAAAATTTATCAGATACATAATCATTTGTAATTATAATCCAATAATTATTACGCATTGTTCTATAGTCATAATTTTATTATCATCCAGTCAACCCTTGCAACCCTTTATTTGCACAGAAAAGTTGTGAACCAAGTAATAAATTTGTTCTAGCCTAAATAAGAGAAATACTTTGGAAGTGTTGACATTTCTGGTCTGTTAGTGTTTATTGACTTTGGTTTACCGTGGGCCCCTGATTAACCACTCCGACTGTGGGTGGTGTCACCTGTTTATCTATCGCATCTGGACATGCAGGTCAAATGACTGGACAATGGATCACATGGCCACTGGTTGTGTGTGTCTCACCAGATGAAAAGTGAGCACAGATATGACAAGAATGTGGCAATTAATCAGTCTTTTAAATTCTTCTTAAATTTAAGAATTTAACGTTAATTGATAAAGGGTAAAAAATGCCTGAAGTCCATTGGTCCAAACAGTGATTTCAGAATCCAAAGAAAATGTGAAACTTGACTAACCACCAGGTTCAGAGGAGTAAGAATGTTGTTTTACGGTTTAATCGATCTGTCAGGTCACAGAGTATTACCTATCCCCATTTGTCTTAGCATGGGAGAATATTGTGGCAGCTCGGTACTGCCCAAGAAACTGCCTGCATATACATCCTTGTGGCAGTGGAATACTGCTTCCCTTGAAAATGTTTGCATATACATCATTGTGGCAGCAATGTACTGCTTTCCTAGAAACTGTTTGTATATACATCATTGTAGCATTTAGGTATCGATTCTCTTAAAACGGCTTGCTATACATAACTGTGGCAGCAATATAATGCTTTCCTAGAAACTGTTTGCATATACATCATTGTAGCATCTAGGTATCGATTCTCTTAAAACGGCTTGCTATACATAACTGTGGCAGCAACATACTGCTTTCCTAGAAACTGTTTGCATATACATCATTGTAGCATCTAGGTATTGATTCTCTTAAAACGGCTTGCTATACATAACTGTGGCAGCAACATACTGCTTTCCTAGAAACTGTTTGCATAGATATGATTGTGACAGTGAGGTACTGCTTCCCTAGAATCTGTTTGCATAGACATAATTGTAGCATCTAGGTATTGATTGGTTCCCTAAAACTGCTTGCTATACATAACTGTGGCAGCAATATACTGCTTTCTTAGAAACTTTTTGCATATACATCATTAGCATCTAGGTATAGAATTCCCTAAAACTGCTTGCTATACATAAATGTGGCAGCAATATACTGCTTTCCTAGAAACTGCTCACAAGCACATAATTGTTGCAGCTAGGTACTGATTTCCAAGAAACTGATGGCATATATACCTCTGTAGCAGTGAAATACTGCTTTCCTAGAAACAGCTTGCATATACACCATAGCAGATAATGTACAGCTTAACTATGTAATTGTGGCAGCTGACCTTTGTAATAACATGATAATCTGGTCATCGTTTGACCCTCTATATTGTAGCCAGCGGGAGCGAGAGGGGCATTACTGGGCTACAGTTAAACTGTTACTTCAAAGGCCTATCGTGATTGGGGCAATTTATGATGTCCTATCAGTGTCATAAAATACATGCCATCCCATTGTCCTAGTGCTACGGGGCACGGGAAGTCCCACTGTTCTCAATGGCAGGATACTTCTTCCTACCAGGGATATCACCACTGCAAACCGTCACTCCATTCCTTCAAATCCACAATCCTCCATGTGGCATTCACAGGTGGAAGTTATTACACATTTAAAGCCTACAATATAGCGCTTAGTCATCAACTTGCCTCTTGTCATATTTACCTCGTGAGAGAATGAGAATATGTTAAAGTTTTCTCATTCATGCGATGAGACAGCCATGGCAGTTGGCAAGACAGTTTGAATATTCTGTAAATCAACTACTTAAATGATATTACACATTTATGTAATATTCTGTTGATCATATCGACTACATGTGTGAAAAACACATCTATGTAATATTCTGTTGACAATATTCACTACATATAATTTAAAACTATTAGAATATTTTTGGGGATATTTTTTTGCAGTGAAGACTGAGCACATGATGTCATAAAAATATCCCTCCCAAAACTTTCTTTGTTCAGTATATATTATATATAAATTCACATAATATTCTTTTTGTCATATCCACTACATAACATAATAAATAAATTCACATAATATTCTTTATGTCATATCCACTACATACATATAATAAATAAATTCAAATAATATTCTTTTTATCATATCCACTACAGATATAATAAGCATTTAATAATTTATGTAATATTTGATGTTAAAATTGGTGATTACAGAGATTAGTCTCCAACAGACCTAACTGCTTGTTGTTCATGGCAACAATGATGCTATGGACTGTTTGATGACATCATCACAGACTGAAGTTTGGCCAGTGAAGATATCTAGTTATTATCACCCAGAGATAAAGTACTTAGCAGTTTATCCAATACACGTACTACATGTTTAGGTAAAAAATGCCGAAGATCTTGAAGTTGTCCTGTTCCCCCTGTCCATGAGTGGGCGTACTCTTTTATACTGTGGCATTCTCTGATCTTTAAAAGTTGTTCAATGCTTACCACTGAATCTCTCCTTCCATTTACGAACATTATTGAAATCAAAAGTGACTTTAATAAAGCATTTTGTCTCCATGCTGCTGTCTAATAACCTGACACTGTGATTTCAGCTAACTTTCTATAGCTCCATTGTTACATAATCTCTGTAATTAACTTACTTTCTAAATCTACAAAGCCAACTCACAAAGGTATACTTATCATATAAAATTTCCGCTTGGGGGAACACTTCATTTACAAATTGCAAACAACTTTCTCTCATTTATTTCCTTTAGACACCCTCCATTTGCAAGAAAAATCTCCTTGAGGACCAAACAGAAAGTCAAATGTTGACCCCTAAACCGTGCAATCAGAACTCACATTCAAAAGCAGAAGCCCACTCAAACAAAGGGTGTCTCGAACTGCCACAATGACTGGTGAACTGTTTTGAGTCCCTGCTGAGCGACACAGCAGTTATACAGGGGTGTAATTATCCTGTTGAAAAATATGAATCGGGGGTGACATTTCATGTCAGTTTCAAAGCTGGAGTGAAAACATTGGCAGGAAGACGCTACAACCAGGAATACGGC